CAAAGTGATTTCATAAAAGCAACCTAGTGTTGGGCTGACTGAAGGCCCTCCACTTCCTACATCCTCTTCACAAAAATTTTTGAAGGCATGCTAGATGCACAAGAAACAAAGGGCTGACTTTTAAACATCAACTTAAAACTAATTTTAGAAAAGGTACCTGGAATGCCTATACATGTATATATACTTCAGAATATCACTCACTGTTTCTAGAGTGAAACTACCCAGTGGAGTGCCCCAGATGACATGGCAAATACGACTGTGTGAGTTCAAGTGTTCAAACTAGAAAATGTCACTATTAAAGTTTTTAACATAGACTCGTAAGTGCTAACAGATGGTTTCAGAAGATTATGCAGACTTGTGAAGCAGGAGTCAAAAAGACAGGACAAAATGCAATTCAGTGTTCACAATTCAGCTGAATAAGCCTCTGCAAAAACTTCCACTAATGAATTTGCCAATAACAACATCCTTATGTCAGGTAATAAAAAGTTTCTATATACAAACTATACAAAATTCATTCCATCTATAGAGAGACAGCTTCTAACAGAGCTTGTGCGAGTATAACTGAACACGGAAGTGTTTCTAAATATTGTTAATTATGCTTTTATCATGTGTCACGTCCTGAACCCAGGACATGATGGAATATGCATCTGTATGTATTAAACCACTAGAAAAATAAAGGTAGAATATTGACAGTTACATCTCTTGCCCTAATAGTAGCACATTATCAATGTCAGCACACCAAAGAGAAAACTACATCTCTGACAATACAAGGTCCAAGTGATTTCTGAAGGCATAAAACGGGTTTCAGAATCTTTCGTATCTGTAAAGGAAAGCATTATTCTGGAAATCAGTGACTGACAGTATTAAATGAGTTAGAATTTTCCATTCGCATTTTTAATTTCAACTGCTTCAAGGTAGTACGAGAAGTCTTCTGATAGTGTGGAAAAGTATTTCCACAGAAGACAGGAAGCAGAATGTAAAAGCCACGTAATACTGAATGAACGTTCCACCAGCTGTGTGGCTTGAATCAACCAACCAACTCTAGAAATGCTCAGTCCCTACCAAACAGAACCGAATCACAGATATTCACATCATTTTATTTTTAACTCAGCACATCAGCACAGATCCTTCCTGAAGTCTTACGTCGAGAATTGCCAATCCTTTAAGATAAGCATTATCTTAAATACTATTGTGAAATTAATTTGCTTACAAACACAGAATCCTTATGCTTTTTGGACTTTTTAATGTTACCCTAGGTAACTAAAATTGTTTCCACATATGCTGTTTTCAAAATGCAAAGAGGAAACACAAATAACCAGTAATAGTTATTCTAAGGCACACATGGAGCTCAGCACCACTCTTCACAGCATAATATTTCAAAGAGAAGTTTTTAATTACACAGTAGTGCTAAGTCACAGTTGTCATGCATAGGACGTGCTGGTACTGGGCATGACAACATTATTTCATCCTGTCTGCAATCGAACAAAAAAATCACTGTAGTTGTTCAATCTTATGACAAGCATATGCCTAGAGTAATAGAACCCACTCTGCAATTACTACTCAGTTCCAATTAGAGGATTGTAATTTGTTACTTATGAGCATTAATGGCATTTAGACACAGTATTTAAATCTCTCTCAGGAAGTGTTAAAAATGCTAAGAACGTTGCTGTGGTAGCAGACATATTATATTTAGTAAATGAACTCTGAAGTATTCTGTTGCATTAGTTAAGCATTTCACTACATAATACTCAAATGATTTTGTTTTTGTAGAAAACCATTACCATCTAGAGTTCAGATAACAACAGGAGAATAAAAAAGGATCCTTCAGGAAGTTCTAAGTTTGAATGTTGACATAGTCAGTTAACATGCTGTTATGAATGCCTCTTTTAGAAGTGAAAAGCAGAGCATTCGTAACAGCTCAGAAGTTATGCATGCCAAAAAATCTTGTAAATTGTAAGGTACAGATTATATACAAACGAATAAAACCACAGCCCTAATTGACATTCATAAAGTATCTGCTTTTGTTCTTCAAACAGTAACAATACAACGTATTTTGTTCAGAATTATTTTATTTGGATTATAGCAATTAGTATCACTGATCAGTAGGCCAAATCCAGGCAGAGAGCACAGAATCAATTTCACAAGGCAACAACATGGACAAGTATTTTAGCATACAAACCATTTCACTGTATTATCGAGTAGAAATATCTTCCAACCATGCATAAAAAGTCTATGCTTAATCTTTCAGAGCTCCAGGTAATACCAGATTCCTAAATATACAAAAAATACATTTAACTTATAATAATCTTAGTGAATCACTTATAAAATTACAATTTTATTCTTCACAACATAGAAAAAATACAAAAATGACCGTATATAGTTTTCACCCAAATTTCACTGACAAATATACATCAAAATGTATGATTTGATGTATACTTATGAAATTTTTAAGCTGAAGTTTTAAAATGACAGTGCAGATTGGTCCACACAAATGCCAACCTTTATACTGATAAATAAAAAAAAACCCCAACCTTTGATAGAAACATCACATTGCAAAAAATTACAATTTACCTGCACTGTAGCCTGCATCTTACTGTAATTTACAATATGAACATTTCTATAATTCCAGTTGTAAACTATACACTGGTATAGACCTTGGTCTTTTAGAGGGTAATGACTAACTCAGACAGAGCCGGCATGATAGAACATAAAGTACTGCTGACTGCTTTAGTGTGCACAACAGAGAGTACCAAAGCAGAAGACATGGCTGCAGCAGAAGTTTGGTGATGCTGATAAAAAACATGCAAGCCAAGTAAATAGACTGTGGGTAAAGAAAAACAACTCTGGATTTGTAACAGAGAGTACTTATCAAAGCTTCTATTATAAAGTTCACATAAAACACATTAGAATTTCAGTGACTGAGGGAAAATTCGTTCTTACTTTGAGGAAAAAACCCACATGTGACCAAAGTCACTGTTAGGGAAAAATCCAAACAGTATTATGGCATCACACTACAGTTCTTACTCAAGACCACCTTCCAGTGATTTCCATGGAAGCTAAACTTGAAAAAGCACTGCAAGCTGAAGTGCTGGAATTCTTGTACATACTAACTGCAAGTTCATACTTCGGAATGTAGTTTTTAAATCAACTTGGCTGATAGGATTTCTAATTTTCAAAGCATTTTCTTTTTCTTCTAAAAAGGAAAAGTAGCTCCATTTTCTTTTAAAAGGCTGCAGGCTATTTGCATTTGTGTGGTAAATTAATATTTTTAATAAAGTAAATATTCCCTAATAAAGCTTATTCAGTAAAGATGTTGGTTGTACAAGCTTTCTCCCTACTGGCAGCTCTGCTTTTCCATAGTGCCAATGCTATCTAATACAAATCTGTACCACATTGTTCTCATCAACAGAGCTATGAATGTTACACAGCCATTTTTCTCCAAATTGGATCAACACATCTGAAACCTTATCTTTTATTTGGGCACAGAAATCAAATCAAGAAAAGTTCATGAGCTGAGCCTATCCACTATGAATATGCTCCTGATAGCACTCTTGATAGCAAGTATAAGCAAAAGGAGACGTTTAGTTCTGAGGTGGAAGTTTACACTGTTGAACAATGTGTTCATTGTGATGCAACATTTTTCAGATCACAAAAACAAAGCACCATGTAACCTAACAGAGAAATGAAATTGTTGCATCTCTGAATGCAAAACCACTTTGAGGTTGTATATGGCCATAGAGTTTTTGAATACAGCCAATAATTGTCTCCAAAAGGTTTAAAATAGAAGCAAAGATCATTACTGTCTCTTTTCCATCTCCCTGCTTACAGTAGTCATGTTTGTGTAGAGCATTCATACATTACTGAGTGCTAGGAAAATTCACTCAGACTTTTTGATGGAGCCAAAGGAAATTATTGAAAAATGAAATGGTTGTTCGTTTGTTGGGTTTTGGGTTTTCTTTTTGTTTTTTTGCCTGTTTGGTTTTTTAATATAGCTTTTTCAACCATAAACCAAAATAATTGCAAATCCAGCTCTCCCCAAGCGCTAGAACAGAGAGCCTGTGCCCTCAGTACTTGGTGGCTATGTTTAGGGAAAACTGTGATGCATCAAGCACAAGTAACTGGGATACAGATATGGGCTATGTCCAGCGGGAGGTGCTGGCATGCACAGCACCAGACTAGTACCCCAGCAGTGGTAACACCTCATTTATGCACTAAATCACAATGTTACTAAGAGGGAAGCCAGAGAAGCCCATGTACTGTGGTCTAGGGGGTATGACTGGTTGAAGATAGGACTGTTCCACAGAGCGAAGGCCATAACCTACATTTCCTTTCACCTTTGCCTGGATACCTGCTCATTAGCCTGCTCCCTCCCCTAATCCCCTCCGTTGCCCACCCTCTGCTCCCAGTCAACAGTTCATTTATAACTCGGGGCACTGCTCACACAGCATTAGTCCTTTCTGCCTTGCTAGATGGTTTTCTCAGTTCTTTCATTTTCTGTTTTACCTTTCCAAAAGAAGGCCTAGCCTGAGAACCAAGAGAAAGCACCTAGGAAAATTTAACTTTCTATGGTCTTCTGCTCTTCCAAAAGAGCAGATGAGGGAAGGTTTGCCTGATCTGCAAAAGCAGCATGTAACACAGGAGATAATTGGCTTTCAAAGAAGGAGCTTACAACTTTGCAACATTTCAGAAGCTGAGTGCCTGGAACTGCCTGCTTGGATGTGCCAGTGATACGCTTTAGTCACTTGAGAGAACTCACGTTGAGGAACAAGGCCCTCAGATGATTCCATGGTAGACCAAACAGTCTTTGACACTGAAAGATGAATACCACTGAGTGGACAGTGATTAGAGATGACAGTTTAAAGTAAAAAATGGAGAACTGCACCTGTTTCTGGGTGACTTGCCTCCTAATATTGTTTAGATTCATTACTGATATCACTAGAAATATTACAGTTAGTTGTTTTGGGGTTTTTTTTAATATTTAAAAAAGTATCCAGGGATGCAGTACTTAGAGGAGTTTTAATGTTTCAGATAAGCATTATAGCCTCTGAATTAACATTAGCATTTAAGTAATCAGCTTAAACAAGATCTTCAGAGAACACACTCTGGTCAGATACCCTACTGTTCAAATTCCTAAAGAACCACATTCCCCTCATTTCCCGTAACTGTTACCCTGTTCTTGTTCGCATCACCTTTTAGAAGTGTTTAATTCAAACACTTTGCCCAGCTTACATTCTTCACTGGAGTCTCTGATAAAAATCATAAAGTATTCCAGAGCATATTGTTTGCCTTCACAGCAATACATACAGTTTCTGGCATGCAGTCAAGCACTTAAAAAAAAGGAGGTATCAGTAATATAATCCCAATTCAAGCATTTAGTGGGTACAACTTCATCCCTCACACTGCAACCTTCAGGCATTTAGTAATAAATGAAAACCGTTTAGCACATCATCTAAGGAAAAGGAAAAGGCTAACTGCCAAGCCACAAAGTTTAACAGTTTTCTGAAGCACTGCAAGCTGAAAATTATTTAAACGTTTTACATTGTAGAATTTCAGTGAAATCAGATTTATTGGTTATTTTTGTTAAATTATTGGTCTTCTACCTCTGACTTATTCTATCTTGGTATATTCTTTATAAATGTGCTGGGTGTTGAAAATCTGCAGCATTTTGATGTTTGAAAAGTTCTGAAAAAGAGTTGGAATTACTCCGACTTCTTGTGTTCTTCAGTGTGAGAGAGTACCTTTCGCCTCTGATGTAGCATATGAAAATACAGCTGAGGAAAGACTGAAGAGAAAACAGACTTACATAAATAAAGCATGAAGTGGGGCGTACATGTCAGCATAAGATGACAGTCACATGCACAAGGTCATCAATTCTCTATTAAAAGAAAACATGCTTATCTGCTTTCTGCTCAAGCTGTCTTATTGCCTTTTATTTTTTCAAGAGCGTAAGTGACATTGTCCTTAGGCTTCAGGTACTACTTAATTTTTGCTAGAGGAATCTCATTTTTAATTAAATGCAAAATGCCTTATTTAACTCTGCACATACAAGCAGGCTGACAAAAGCTTCCTGAACCCCCACATGTACAATAGAAAGAAAATACATCGCAGAAGGAAAAAGTCCTTCCAAACGAATGAAATTTCCAGATTCGTTACATTTCTTGCAATTCTGGTGACACTTTTTCAGGATCTAAGAAACTTTATACAAACTAGTGCCTCTTCCATCTCTTCTCTCCTTACCGTCCCCGCAAAGCTTTTTCTCCTCCTATTTCTAAGACTACATTACACAGTATATTTGCAGAATAGGGTATGGGAAAGTTACATTTATAAACAGCAAAAGCTAAAATTGCCATGAGACACTAAACTTTTGTGAACTCCATGAAAATTAAGCAAGGTCAGCATCAGCCTAAATTTTCTGTTACACATGCAAAGTGTTAATCATAACATAAGCCAAATTCTATTTAATTTGTGTACTAGTTTTTTTTATTTGTTTTTTTTCCAGGTCAATAGTTTTTCTTTTGGCTTTCTTTACCCTGTATTTGATTCCATGATTGTTTCCTCCTTATCCTGATTCACTCCACTTATCTTAAGCAGCAAATACAGCTGTCCAGAGACATAACAGAATACACAGCCACATGGTTTCTCCATTAGAAGTCTAAGTAATGGGGATCCATTATATGCAAATAATTTAAGGACATCTTTTCTAGAAAGATGTCAGTTTTGACAGACACTAAATAAGTACTAATTCAGAGATTTAACGTGAGGTAAACTCTAAGATGCAACTATCTAGATGTAAAAACCCCTCCATTTTTAACAACTGTTACCAAGATCTTCAGTAGGCTCACAGGGCGTAACTCCTGAACAGGTAGCTTTTATGACTGAATAACTGAACTACGGTGTAATCGATGACTAAGATGAACACTTGCTTTTCTTGTATCTCAGGAATATATTCATATGAGAAAGCACCTAAGATCACTTAACTCCAAGCAGTTGGTTCTCAGAGTTCAGATACCAATTCACAGTAAGTAAAAAAATAATAAAAAAATAAAAGACTTCATTCAAGTTACACATCCAGCAAATGACAATGGATCACAGAAAAGACCTCATTTAAGATATAGCAACTGTAATGGAGAAAGCAGGATAATACTATTACTTGGGTTCAATGTGGGTTCCCCCCTAAATGGCCTGTGATCTAACTACCACATAAGAGTAATTAATACTCGTGGTTATTTTGATTAAAACAAAGTTCTGGCTGCTTGGTTAGGAACATCACTTTTGGAGGAGAGGGACAAGGAGAAACAAAGGCATGAAAAGTGTTTTTTTAAGAACAGCTGGAAGAACTTAGGAACCCTGATGTCAGAATTACAACAACGTCCACTGAAAGTGTGAGTGGTTGTTATAGAGACAGGCACACTACTCAAATTTTTATCTTTGAGTATGGTTTATCATTCTGCACAAACAAGGTTCATATGAAAACAGCTGCAGATACAGCTAACAGCACCATCATCACTACATTATTCTACATGTTAGACTTTATTTGGGCATTTAAATTTGCTAAAGACTTCCATGTTCCTATTCCCCATTTCAAAGCAGCAAAGCCAAGTCTTCATTCCATCTATAGAAACATCAACCAGAGATCATGTCAATACAAGTTAGTTCAACAGAAATGGTTCCCTACCCACTAATGCAAAAAACAATGTTCCTATTCCCAAAAAGAACTGAATTTTAAGAAGCTGGTTTGAACTTTGTCCTCCTAAAAGTCTGGGGGGTGGAACGATGTCAACATTTGCCAGAAAGTACCACAATAATTTTATATTCCAAGTGTAAGAATAAAAACATGTATTACTGTTTTGCAGGTGTTGGTAGAAAAAAATCCTTGTGGGTTTAACTCTCCCTTTTTCCTTCAGATATTTTTCAGAACTAATTTTGCAAAATTAGTTACATGTATGTTAATCCTGTAACTATTATCTTTTCCTGTTACAGCTTTTAATATTAAAAACCCTAACAAACTCATACTTACTTGGAATGTAGGAGATCATAACCAGGATCAGGAATGTATAGTAGTCAAAAGAAAAATTGTACTTGTTAGGTAAACTAATGGAATACAAGCCAGACTGCCTGACGAAGGGTAATGCAGCATATATTGTGAGTAACTCGCCGGAGACTCCCATTGGATACAATACTATAAACAAAGTGTACCTGGAACAAAACATTTATGGAAATGATTAAAAGTTATGACAAATTCTAACAAAGCATTTGCTAAATATTATGGATATTAAAAAATTTTAAATTGTCAAATCAGTATTCATTTCCCTTAGCCCTTATTTGATTAAAGCATGGCAAGGTATGAACATTGTTGCAAGACAAGTATTCAAATCAGCAATCAGTTTGAATTACCTAAGATCACCTTCACGAATCTGAAAATTCTCTAAAACTACTGTCACTTACCCAATTCTCCTCTCCCCTCCTCCCCCTCCCATTGTTACTTTGAATTCTAAACTCTTTGGTAGAGTTTAGATTGCCTACAATGAGGCTAAACACACTTAATACTAATCAATGAGCTTACAGATTGTTTCAAGTACAACCCTTGGATTCAAGAGTTACGGTTAAATGTCAATTTACTCACTGTTACCCCTAACTGTTAAATGTCAGTTTTTGACAATCACTTTGTAAATGGGGCTGAGTTCTAACAGACTACTCTTTCATGTTACAGTGCAATGCGTTTTTTATGCTGGAAAGAAGCTAGGAAGTCACATTCACAAACAGGGTCATTACCTCAAGGCAGAATTTAATTTTTATACTACAACTATTTTACAAGACAAATATCCCTGTCAAATCAGTGCTTTAAGACTACAATTTCTATTATGCCACCTACCTGGCCCATTTGATGAGATAAGGGAGATGGTTTAACAAGCTAAACGTATAAAAAGAGTAACGGATTATCTCAGTGATTGTCCAGGCCACTACAAACAACAGGACGCTATCTTCAGTTTGTACCTGTAAGAAAGAAAAAAAGCGCAGTATGAATTCAAGTATTACTAATTACTCACCAGACCCAAGAAAACCTCAAAGAAATCAATTCCCACGGGTTGCTTTACTGCATCATTTTAGAGAACAGACTCCAACAATGAGCTTAAAAGCAACATTAGTTAACGACAGTTAAAAACCTTTATCATGCTTCATCTTTTACTAGTTGCTTAAGAATAGTTCTGCTTGGTGATCAGATAACTTAAGATCTCCCATTCTGTGCAAGATAAATCAGTACATGAAATCGCTGAAATGCTGAGAACAACTCAAACCTCTTCCTATTACTATATAGTATCAGCTTCTACTTCAGTCCTACGAATGCTTCGTAGTGCAGCAAGCAGAAAGGATGCTAACACATTATTCCAACACTTGATACCCGGTTTAGACCTTATATTCTGATCCTAGTCCATGCTACTTCTGAGTAGAAGCACTCCACAGATGAGAAACTGGGTCCTAATTTTGAGCAGCAGCAGCAGAACAACACCAGGACAAAGGCTAAGAAGAGAGAAGAAGCAGAAGCTCAGACTGTCTCACCTTGGGTAAGCTTTACAATTACCCACTTCAGTGTTCTTTGCTCCTTTTCTGCTTATTATATCCAGCATAATTCCTCTAATGTTACACTCCAGGTGTTACTATGTTTCACTGCTTTACACCTCTTTGCGTTTTTATTTCAGACACACATCACCGAACCAGCTTTTACTGCCTTCACATTTTGAAGGGTAATCTTCAAAAGATGTATTTTAAAATTAATTATTAGATATATTAGACTTGGGAGCATAATTATGAGTTTAAGTTTCAGGTGGAATAGCAGTGGTGAAGTAGTCTATGGGGTCACATACACGCACTACAAACTGTTGAGAGAGCAAACATGATTTTTATGCAGCCTTTTGCCTCCTTTCCTCCCTTTCAACAAGTATTCTTAACTGTGCAAGTACCTCGAGCCCAAATTCAGTGGACCGTGGGAATAAAAGAGCTCAACCACAGGGGCCCACATTTTCTTTTCTCCTCCAACTCTTGAAAAAAGGGAAGTCAGTAGGTGTGGGTGGTACACTCTATTCATCTTGGGGAAAGTACAAACAAAAAAAAGGAAAAACAAAATATATGGGCAATCAGAAACCTTTTAATAGGAAGGAACTGACCATGTATTTGTGTGTAAAAACACTCAAGAGGATTACCCATAAAAATGTTGTTACTGCAAAACCCAGAAACATTTATAAAGAAATGTTGGGATATCCTGGACTGAAGAGCTGCTGTTAATCTACATTCTGCTGCATATAGCATTTCAACTCACTTCCACTGCACTTTGCAGCAAATGCACCTTGTCCTTTTTCCACAGGAAACTGATAATTTGCTTATAAATTAATCTCCCTTATATCATCATAACAGAACAAAATCCAAAACTTACTTGAAGACTTTCAAAGAAACCTAATCTATTTTTACACTGCTACAGGATCCTAATCCTGTTTGGGGTCTGCTTCATAAGCAAGACAGTTCTCAACCTGGAAAAGTTAATAGCACTCCACAGATGTTACTGTTCCCAAGGAGTGCTTCACAAGCACTCTAGAGCTGCATCTTCTGGTCAAATCAGGAGTAGCAGCTTAGTCAGTTCATAGAAACGTATGAGTCGCCAACTTCACTGTACTTTGAAACCCCACTTCTTTC